CTTGACCGCCAAGATAGCCTGACGATTCTTATACTGCACCATCTGCAGCGTGATTTCGGCGTTCCAGCCCTGGTCCTGCGGGCACCGAAAGTCGATCTCTTTGCCCTCGGTCATCACCACAGTGAAGTACATATACTTGCCCTTGCGCTCCACGCAGTCCACGGTCTTCATGTTGGAAAAGTGCAATTCTTTGAGCTTGACTGGCGGCTCGAGGCCGGCGACAGTGGGGCAGCCCGGTTGGGACTGCTCCGCTGGCCCCTGCCCGGGCTGTGGCTGCTGCTGGTGTTGCAGCTGCTTGGGCGGGATGAGCAGCAGCCCCTCCTCGGTGAGGATGCAGCACTTTTTCTTCCAGAGCTGCAGCAAGCCGTCGCTGCGCTTCTCCAGCACGCCCTCCTTCAGCGCCTTGCAACCGCTGCTCTCCAGCATCCTCCCGGCATAGGGGGGTGCACCGCTCGACTCGGCCTCTCTGCTTCCAGCCGCCCGCGCTGGGGGCAGCAGCAACAGCCCCCGCCCCCGCCCCAGCGGCTTCTACCGCCACCCGACCGGAGCGCGCAGAGGAGGCTAACACGTAGGAGGCAGAGCGGCCGCGGAGGCTCGGGGTCCGGGCAGAGGGACAGCCGCGTCCTGATGCGCCACAAGGTCCCGGAGATGCGAGCTGCCGGGCCTCTGTCGTCCTCTTGCGAGCGCTCACTGAAGGGCACTGGCCGGGCCCCCTCGCGGCGCTTTTGAATGGGCCATCCTCCCCACCCCCGAGTGACACCCAGCGGAAAAGGCGGCTCCTGGCGCCCGCACCGCGGGGGAAAGCCCAGCTCCGAGAGACGCTCGGCGGCCGGCGCACGCCTCATTAACTTGGGGCCGTTCCAAAACCGGCTGCGTCCACGCCCCCCGCGTCCCTTGCCCCGCCTCTCGCCGCCCACTCGCTTCCGCGCTCCTTTCCCGGGAAGACGAGTGGGACCCGAGCTCCGGAAACTCCGCTCCTCCTTCCAGGACGTTCGCCGAGGGCGCCCACAGTGCTTGATGACAAATGCAGAAGCCCAGAGGGCGCTGAGAGGCCATCCCTACCGTCCCGCCTTTCCCCGGCCCACGGGGCTCCCTGCTAACAGCCGCAGAAAGTGGGGATGGCGCTGCGAAGGCGTGCTCAGCTGACAAGCAGTGCCCGGAACACGAAGCTGTCTGCCCTCGGGAACTAGCCTGAAAGGTTTCGCACGCATTGGGCTCTAAGACCTGCACAACCACAATGTCCTGGCCCAGACGAGCAGGGAGCGCCCTAGCAGTGTAGTCCCGCGTTGATGTGCCATCTGGGACGCCTACCTGAACAGCTTAGAACACAAAGGCGGAGAGGAAATCGGTCTTCACTCGCACCTTCGTTCGCGGTCATAAATGGCCCTTAGAAAGGGGAGCGAGCGATTGTTAAAGCAATAGCGCTACCGTCAGGTTTGGAAGGAGTGGAGACAGACACATGTCGCCTTGCTGTTCTTGGCCTGGGAGCACACTAGCCCCCAATCTTCACCAATTTCTCCGGACCCCTTTATAACTAGTCCATACTGCCTGCAACATGTTACAACAGTTAATAACCCTAACTACATTCAAACCAGGGGAATGTTGGGTGCCTAGAGTCCTCACTGCAAGGCACAGCTTAGCGTTCCAGACCCACAGTCAGCCCCTGCGGGTGTCCATCTTTCCAAACGCCTAATGGACCAGATCTGTATTATTGAGATTCTCACATTTTATTATGTAGAAGCTACTTCTATATAATAGAAGTAAAAAAACGGCATGTAACCGAGACCTAGTCTCCCGGTGAGGAGACCCACCCAGTAAGAAAATAGGGAGCCCCAGCTAAGGACTAATCCTGAGTACAGGGAACCATCACACGAAGAACCAACCAACCAGGGATGGGAAAGTCAGATTTGGGCAAGTAGGAGGAAAGGCTGCCTCCGAGTCCAAAATGGAAGGGAAATTTTCAATCACCTGTTTGCATGTATGGCTAGAACAAAATATTCAAGGGGAGGGAAAGCTGAGCGAAATCCTGTCATGTTAAGAAATTCAAATATGGGGCCGGTAGGTGGCGTGGTGGTTAAAGGCGCTGGACTCCCACATGGCCGTCGTGGTGGAGTCCCAGAACTGGCGGCTTGCTTTCTCACTTTCCCTGTCTCCCGCTAGTCAAATTAAAAATCACAAATGGAATTAAATAAAAATCTTTTTAAAAAATTTCAAACTTAATTTTAAGGTAATCAGAACAAAAGATAACTTTGAAATATGGGAAGGTCCTAAATCTTAAATCTTCCCGAGAACAATGCTTGATCAAACAAGACAACTCCAGCACAATTCGGAATCCCGCTATGTTCTCTGCGCTTGGCCAGATCTCAGGATCTTCACATTGTTGATGGATTAGCAGTCTGTTAAGGTGAAAGGCAATTTTAAAATTTCATAGATTTCTGGTAAGATGTTATAAATGTACAATTGTGTATACAACAAACACATCTATTTCTTTTCCTGTCTTGGTAGGACAAGTGAACATTCCAGAGAATTTCTACATGACCAGCTGTTCACCCTTTGAACAGAATGACATTCTTCAGCTCTTTGGGAAAAGATACTTCCTTTAAGCCTGTAATTCAGTCTCTGTTGACACGTGTTGTTGGGAAAGATATTTCATATAGAAAACACACAAACTTGATAGCTTTAAGGGGGGTGGGGGCACCACCATCCGATTGGTGGTGCAGCAGTAATGCATTGCTCCAGAGATGCTAGATCCATGTGGAAGACAACAGGTTCAGTTCCCCAGTTGATGGGTCCATGTGGAGACCCAGCCACACTGATTGGCTGGAAGGTTGGGAAGAACCATAGCATAAGCCACTCTGGCACAGGGAGGTGCCTTTCTCTCTGTAAACCTCATGAAAGAAAGAAACAGAGAGAACCTGGAAGTCCAAGTCATGATCTTTAAATTCCAAGTGTGGTTTCACCTAGCCTTCTACAGTTTACCAGGAGGCAACAAATGTATTCTATTGTCCTAAATTAACTGAAAAATGTTAGTACAGCACCACTTTCAAAAGCACTCATTTAATTATAACTCAGACTTTCCAGCTGGGTCCATCACAATTTTGTCAGTAGTTCAGAGGTTAAGTCTACAATGTGCTCTCACTGACCAGTTCATAAAGTTATTGAGGGAAAAATTTTTAAAAGATTTTTGCCATAGAACATGTGCACTTGAGGGAAACAGAGAGCGAGCAAAGGGGGAAAGCGAGGAATTAGCCCTTGGAGAGTATGGCCACACGGCAATCCCTTATCCATTCTCTTGAGATTTTGGGTACACTTGCTGGTTTTCAAGCCACTGGGTCTGGCTCAAACCATGTCAGCCATGTGGGATCCTGCCGCCTTTAACCTCTACGACACCTGCTAGTCACCCAAATATTCAGGAGGTTCCTTGCCATACAGCTCAGGGTGAGCCAGGGCATGAGCTAATTACCTCTGCTCGTAAATTATGTGCTGGCATAAATTCAAATTTGGCTTTCCATGTTTTCAAATTTTGCTAGAGTGCACACATGTTTGCCAGGGAGACAAGAGTCAAGAGACGAGAAACAAGTGAGAATGCCTTGTCCCTATAGAGGAATGCTAAGCTACAATGCTTTCTCTGCCATTTCTCCTTTCAGGATTTTGGGCATACACACACACAACCAGCATGTTTTTCAAGCCATCCAGTATGAGATTTGAATGAGTGAACCATGTGGAATTCAGCTGCCTTAACCAGTATGCCACTGGCTGGCACTTCCTGTTCTTATGAAGGTATATTTGTCAAGGCAGGAGCACTGGATGCACTTTTATTTCACACTTTTTTCCTTCAAGATTTTTGCTGTAAAGCGTGCATTCACTGGAGATACAGAGAGTGAAATTGAGAAACCACCCCGCCCCCCGGGGAGGAGGGGGGAATGGCCCCACCACAATCCTTATCCATTCTCCTCTTGGAATTTTGGGCATGCACACACATGTGCCCAGTGTTTCACGCCACCAGGTCCAGGATTTGAACCAGTTGGCCATGTGGGAGTCCAGTACACTACACCACCTGCTGGCCCCTATTTTACAAAACCTTTAAACATCTAAACATTTATCTCCATTGTACTCTTGCCAAAGAACGCAAATGGTAGCATGTCTGCCTTGCAGTAATCCTTAATTCTTTTCCCTTCATACCCAATCTACAGTCAGGAAATCCCATTTGTTTTGGAATATCCGGACTCTCTCTGCTTCCTTCTCTACTATCCTGACCCAAATCACTATCATCTTCTCCCCTGAATGATGGTGATTTGGGTCAGGGTGGTAATGAATCCTGCAAAAGCTTTCTTGTCCCTTGATTCTACCACTGTTGCCCTATAATCTATTCTCAATATGTCAATGTAATCCCAGTCACTTCAAGTATTTACTCAAATGTCACCTTCTCCATGAGGTCTATCCAGACCATCCTAATCATTTTCCCCTATATCATGTATTGCCTTCTAACATTCTACTAGGTTATTATGCCTGTTGCTTGCTTCTATCCTACTTGTTTAAAATATTTATTTTTAATTTGACCAGAGAGGGAGGGAAAGTGAGAAAACAAGTCACCAGGTCCAGGACTCAAACCAGTCAGCCACGTGGGAGTCCACCGCCTTAACCATACCATCTGCCAGCCTGTCTCCCACTTTATATTTGAGCATAAGCCTTTAAAAATAAGGATCATTATTTTTCATGTATCTCAATCACCCAGAACAATTCTCTGCACACAGTAGGTGCTCAACACATGTAGAAACTTGGCATCAGAAAATACATATCCAGGGGGCCAGCAGGTGTATGGTGGTGAAGGTCCTTATCTACCACATGGCTGACCAGTTCAAGTCCCAGACCTGATAGCTTGCTTTCTCACTCTCTGTGTGGTGAGCGTGTGTGCGCTCTTGCAAATATAAATAATAAAGTTAAATTAATTAAAAATATATATCCATAAGAGAAAAGCTATTTCTTCAAATGCTTGTTTTCATAATGCATCCTACTTTCAAAATTTTAACTGAAAAAGACAAAATAAAAACCTTCAAAAATTTGCCGTGTGTGTATACAATTTTTTCTTAATGGGTAACATGTTAGGCTTTTCTTAACCTTAAGTACTAACCACTCCATAGATGCCATCGAAAACAAATCCCACAAATCCTTTTCTGAGCAATAAGCAATTTAAAGTGATATTTATAATCTTGTTTCCTAGTACCAGTGATTAAAAAAAACAAGAAACATGATATTGGTGCTGAATTGGTTAAGTTCCTCTTACTTGGCAGTTGTAGACAAATAATTGCTTAAAAGTACATACTGGATTAAAGACACTTAACAGGACGTGAGTAGTTTATAACTTGATTACGAGTACACAAAATCCTCTTTACAGACTCACCTGCAATATGCTCGTCAGGTCATTCTCATCAATGTATATAAACGCTAACCATAGCCTCATGTTCAGAAAACAATCTAGACTTCATAGCCATTTACTTCATCTTTGAAATACTTCAAAAAAATTCTAATTTCCAATGCCTAGATCTAGCCAGACTCCTCAGCTGCCTTCCTTATATACTAGTTGAGCTGAGGCCTCCTAGTGATCAATTTCTGTAATGCAGCTTAAAGCAAGTCACAGTATTTTAAAAACCGTATTACAAACCTATCCGTGGGTCAAGCACTGTCAACTAGCTGGCTCTAACCTTTTATGCCAAGAGCTTAATTTTACCTTTTAGATTTATTCTGGCCAACTAGTTCCTTTCTAGTCATAAGTTCACTTCCAACTGACTGGCAGATTTTTAACTAGACTAAGATCTACTTTACTAGCTATCTAACATCCTGGATGAGTGTTTTCATCATTGT